CTGTATCCATACAGAGAAATAATGGGGTCTTTTCATATTTTTTCTACAATAAACGAATGAGTTATATAAGGGAACATTTTCCCTCAATCATTACCCCTATTAATTTGCATTTCTAGTAGCTTTCATTAACACGGTAATTTGTACTTATTTAGAGTTGATGTGGTAATTTTCCCATCAAGTACAATAGGAAAATGTTAAAAAAAAGACCTTGGGTATATTTTAAAAGTATTAAAATGATCATTTGGAATCTTTTGTTTTCTGCTGTGTAGTATGATTATTAAGCATCATAGAATTAGAGCATAAAAAGAAGCTTAAACTATTGATAAGTCTGTCCTAGATTTGCAAAGACAGTTAAAAATGTTAGTGTAAAAGTTATTTAGAGATATGTGGAAGTACGCAGAGTGCAGGAATGAATGGTAGCAAAGGAGTGAACTGCTGCACAGAGAGATTTAAGTGACTGGCCCAAGTCTTCATAGCTCGTTAGGCCAACACTGCTACCGAGTCCATGCTACTGTGCAGCTTATGTCAGAGTTTTGGTACTCAGGTTCAGTCAGAAAGAAGACAGAAGGAAACAGGAGTCACCAGTATGTTCTACAATAAATATTTAGTCCTCAAATAATCAGATGTGAACTCTCTTTTCTCAACATAAGATATTCTTTTCTATTTTAAAATAATAAGGCAGAATGCCTGAGAGTGGGCCTTAGTGATTCTAAAAAAAAAAAAAAAAATGAAATAGACCACTGGTTTGTTGTATTAATATCCAGGCAAGACATTTGCTATGTTAAAATTTTTATAAGGTATAAAATATGTGAACAATTAGAAATAATAAATGGTATTCATTAAAGTAAAGCTAAGTACCATCCTGTACAGTAAGTAGGCCTTAGTCATAGATCCTGTTTTAGTTTATTTTTGTATAAAATGAAGCTCAAAGTTTTACTATTATATCTACCAGCTTTCTAGTTAAAGCCAGATATTTGTCTTTTAAATATGCAATGTATGTAAAGTAAAATGCTTAATCTCTCCGAGAAAATAATATGAAAAAGTCTACTTTGAATAAATGTATGTCCTTTAAATGTTATAATTTAATTTCTTGCAGCAAAAGTTCATTTCCAGCATTCAGCAGAATTAATCAAGCACCTAATAAAAGCTGGAGTGAATTATAGCATGCAGGTAAGCCACTTTTTCAGAAGAATATGTTCTTTTACCTTGGTTTTCCACTTGTGAGTATAGCTTCTATATTACTCCATCCTCCATGCTATTGATTTTTCTATGTTTTTTAGGTACCAAAGATGTGCTTTTCATTTCTAATTACACTGAGAATGTAAATCAACTCAAGCTTTATAAGTGAATTGCATAATCCCTTTTAAAAATGTCCTTTTCTCCTGAGACTTTTATTTATATCACTAATATTGAATTCTTTTAAAAGAATGATTTTCTATTTTCTTTCTTGTCTTTTTTGTCTTTTCTTCACTTTCCATCACTCTTATTAGAGAGCAGAAGAAAAAAAAGTATTTGGGGGAAATACTCTAACAAAGCAGAAGAGGATAAAACCTATTTACATTGCAATTTGCATCTGTGCATTCAAACATTTAATAAATATCTGTCAAAAAGTTACTTTACAGTGGTCAGATACTTTATGCTATCAAGGAACTTTCATTCTGATGGAGGAATCATAGAAAATAAAAGCTAATTTTAATTTCCCAACATTTGAATGTATCAATAATAGTTCAACATGCCTGAAACACAAAGTACCAGGTTAAGATAATGTAAGATGGAGATGTGGAGTGGGATGGCAGATAGGACCATAAGCAATGTTGAGGAGAATGGGGCTTTACTCAGAGAGCAATGAGGTACCATTTAAAAACATTTTGCCCAGGAATCGATGGGATAATATTTGTATTTTTATTCTTATTTTAGAGAAATTGCTACTGTTATTTATGTTAGAAAGGACTTTGTCAATGTAAAAGTCACACCAGACAGTGTTAAACACTAAAGGAAGACATTATTTAAGACTGTTGCAACAGGGGAGAGACTGAACTCAACTCTGTTAAAACAAAAAGCTGGAGAATTTGTAAGAGCCAGGGATGGGGGTGGGGAATTGTAGGCCTGCAGTGTTTGGTAATCACCCATACCCAAATGAAAAATAAACTTTCTTGTATCTTCATGACAGGAAGTCATTTTGAAACTTAAATGCTCCTACACTCCCACAGAGACTGGGAGATATGAGTGCTACCTCAATCAATGTTTACATTTCAAAGAGATGGTTCCCATGTCCTTGAGAATTATGTTACCTGTGTTGTAAAACTGACAAGAGGATAGAAGATTTACACACATTTCAAAGGAGCAGAAAAATAATACACAATTGCAAGTTTTCAGAAGTAAATACTCTAAGAAAAAGGAGGTCAGGGCCCATTCTCAGGAAGAAACTGTCCAAAGTTTATTCAAGCAGAGGGCAATGTTAAAGCCATCTTAATCAACGTGAGCATAGATTTGGCTAACAAATCTTTATTTAAATGCAAAAAAAAAATTGTCTCAAATAGGGATTAATATTATTATAATTTTTTTTTGAGTTTTTCATAAAGAACTCATAGTTGAATTAAGGGATATTTTGGTTGGATATTGTTTTTTAAAATTCCTATGCCATTGAGGCTAAAAGAATAAGTTCTGAGGGCCAATAACTGCTTTGGTAACTTGAAATCTTTCCCCTCAATATCTTAGGTCTACCCAGATGAAGGTTATAATGTATCTGAGAAGAGCAAATATCATCTCTATAGCACAATCCTCAGATTCTTCAGTGATTGTTTAAAGGAAGAAATAACCGTGTTACCACAGGAACCAGAAGAAGATGAATAGTGGACCCTATTTATATGGACCTGAAGAGAATATTGAAGCTCAATGAAACCTAACCAAGAGACCTAACATTGTAGATGCTCCAGAATTTCAAGGGCAGCTTAAGGAGATGACACCGGAACAGCACACTCAGAGACAATGAACTAGAATTTGAATACAGACGGCCAAGTCTACTGTGTTGCCAAGGGTGCAGAACCTGTTTCTTTGTATAAGGAAGGTCAAAGGGTTGGTTTCCCAGGAAAAATTAGTTTTGCATTAAAGTAGAAGTAGTGCATGTTTTCTTCTGTTATCCCCCTGTTTGTTCTGTAACTAGTTGCTCTCATTTTAATTTCAATGGCCACAACCATCTTTGCATATAATGCACAACTTATCATCAATATTTCAGTCCCTGATCTTCGATGGCTAAGCTGCAGTTTAACACTTTACTGTACCTTTACAATAAGTGCAATTCTTTCATTGTCTATTATCATGCTTAAGAAAATATTCAGTTAATAAAAAACAGAGTATTTTATGTAATTTTGTTTTTAAAAAGACATTATTAAATGAGTGAAAGGACAAATAGAAGTATGGATTTCAGCACCTTCCAAAGTTCAATCAGTTATCAGTAGATACAGTATCTTTAAATCAACACACAAGTGTATGTCTCACAATTCATATACACATGTGTGCATATACAGTCATTGAATCTATCTCTACATGTTATTCATGCTACAAAGGGTAAACTTTTGATGAATTAGAACAGATGCTCTTTTACAAGCTATTATGGATGCTTTGTTTAATGAGCCAAATATGATGAAACACTTTTTCCAATTCAAATTCTAGCTATTGCTTTCCTATAAATGTTTGGGTTGTGTTTGGTATTGTTTTTAGTGGTTAATAGTTTTCTAGTTGCAATTTAATTTTTTGGATATTATACCTTGTCACATGTAAATTAGATACTTAAATATTAAATTATAGTTTCTGATAAAGAAATTTTGTTAACAATGCAATGCCACTGAGTGCTATTTTGCTCTTTTGGTGAAGGATTTTTTTTTTTTTAAACTCTTGGTCCTTTTACTTCTATCTCACAGTGCAGAATCAATTCTCATTTTCATTGTAAAAGCAGAGAGCTGGATTATTTCATTTGCCAGTTCCTATTTAGTATTCCATGCCTACCCAATTCATCTGTTACTGTTTAATTTAAATTCTGGTGAGAATTAGAAATGAAATATTTTTTATTCACTGGCCAAAAAGTTCACAAACAGCAGCATTTGCTATTTAATTTGAATTGAAGGCACAAAATGCATCAATTCCTAGGCTGTGTTGATTTGCAGTAGTAAGTAATGAGAGAGTAAAATAAACTTGACTGTATGAAGTTAATTTAAGTCATGAGAACATTAACTTTGGTTGCTGAAGCCAAAGAGTGTCTTCTCACTTCACTTAAGGGATCTTGCAGAAGATGTCTAAGGTCTGTAATCAAGCTGCAAGGTTCAGGTAAATCTAGGCAATATACTATGTTTTTGTGGTTGTGAAAAAGTTTTAGAACAGATTGGATTATTTTGACATCAGAACACAGGGAGGAAACTTAAAAATGTCAGGGAATCACTCAGTCATCCTCCTGTTTTGTTGAAAGATCAACACAAAATTCTGAATATTTGAAAACATGTGTATCATTAATTGGGTATTCCATTTTTCTTCTGGAGGCTTTGGAATTGTGTCTTAACTGCCCCATCTGATTCAATTTAAAATGGGAAAAGCTCTCTTTTCTGAAAGACCTGTTTTAGGTCTTTTTCAAGATTAATAAACACATTTTTTAACAAAATAAGTTGTAATGTTTAAAACGAAAGTTTTGCCTATTTTATTAAGATGGAAATTTCTTTTTAGGGTGACTTGAAGTCCAACTGAAGCTTTTTAATCAATATTTTAAATTTTAACCTCTAGAATTTTTTATGATGCAAATAATTATGCTGTCTGAAAGATGTGGTTTTATTGAGTGTCGATTTGAGTAACATTTAAAAAGTATTTACCTTTTACTGTTCATCATTTCTCTTGTTTTATTATCAACGTTTATCTGTTTTTCAATTAATTTAATACAGTTTCTAATGTGAAAGACATTTGTCTGGAACCCACTTTCACCTTAAAGACTAAATAGATCTCAAGTGAAAACATACTGCTTAGTAGGAAGGTAAACAATTTTTATCTCTCTGTTTCTTTGAGTTTTAACAACTTGAAATGCTTACAAACACATAGTCATGACTTACTAAAGGAATCGTGTAACTGGATTTTCCCATTTAAACATTTTCCCCAGTCATAATCCCATTATTTTATACATATTTATGTATTTCTAGAGTTTCCTAGGACTCCAAGTGTTATTATTCCCTTAAAGTTAAAGAAAACAAATCAAGACAATATATTAAAATTCTATACTAAGACAGGTAAGCAATATTACATCACTCACATAGATAAATATGTATCCTTTTGAAACTATCTTGAAAGAGAAAAGTGTTTTTTTCTCTTTAATTGCCTCCACTAAGAAGACAGTTCGAGACTCAGATGGAGACTAAGGAGGGTATGCTGATCTGTCTGAGATCCTGGCAGAACTAAGTGAAGGGGACACTCTTTAAACTGTGAATCTCAGCTCACACTGAAAACATGTCTTTTTTCTTGAATGTTTAGCATAGAAATAACCATCAAGGGTCTTGCAGGTGCCAGTTGTAGATCTACTAGAATGAGGTGCCTTAAATATCAGGCTTTTCTATACAGAGAATTACCTAAGCGATTGTCCTTCAAATGGTGGGCTTTGAAACAGAAGTACCTGGGACTGAATTGCTCTTAAGTCTCTAGGCTTATAGAAGGCACATGGTTTCTGTAAAGGATCATTTATGAAATACCTCTTTGTCCTTTCTTACTTGTTCTAACCACCTTCACATTGTGCAACAACCAGCATTGCAAAAGTATAACCACACCTCTCAGCTATACTCTGTATCTCTCACTTTCTGTTCTGGGGATTCTCTAATACTAATGTTGGCTACCTGCTAGAATTAACGGAAAATCACTTACACACTAAAAACCTATATGTGGGTGTTAATACCTCCATTGAAACCCGATTAATGGAAGACAGTAGCAGGTGACTATATCCTTCCCTCAGACATTCTACATGATTCTTGGGAGGCACCCTGGGCCCCAGTTGCCCACAGCTGGGTACCCTTCTATTTCCCTCTTCCTCATTTCATTCTTTTCAATCCCCTACTCCTATTCCCTAGGATCACTTTCCAAAATAAACTACATGTGCTCCAGCTCTTGACTCAGGCTCTGCTTTCTAATGAAACCCCCCTCTTTTTTTTTTCACAAGAGCTTATCACTGTGAATATTATAGAAAGAATAAATAAAATGAGAATAAGAAGTAGTTTTGTTTCAGGCTGTTTCCACTTAAAATCTATTGGACTCTTACCAATGCCAAGTACATGCTAAGTGCTCTGCATGCATTATCAAACTGAATCTTCTCAACATCTCCTGAAATAGAAATTAGAATGCCCATTTTCCAGTTAAGAAAATTGAATCTCAGAGAAGTATGCAACTTGCCCAAATTTAACTAAGTAAAAAGACTAAAACCCAGCTCCAGCCAACTTAGGCATCCGTGTTCTCAGTCATTCTGCTCTGTAATTCTCTTGAAATAAGAAGAGATTTAACCCAGGTTCACACCATCTGAGAAATAATTCTAAATACTTGAACACATAGTCTCAGATATTGTTGAGGATGATGTGATAGCAATAATACTGAAAGGTAAAGGACAGCCTAATGTACCACTATGGAATGACTGAAGTTACATGGATTCCCCAACGTCAAGATGACACATGTAATATTAAAGCTTTTTTTTTTTTTTTACCTGTTGGAGGCATATGAGTTATTCCTATCCATGGAAAGCCTTGCTCAAAAGACCATGACTGTATGCCTGAGAAGTCGTTAGTGAATTTCTTTGCTTTGGCTTTATACCAAAGGCATTCCAAAATCATTCCAAGAGGCATACATGCATATACTGCAGAAGCATGTTGATAAAACATCCAGTCCTGCAAATATGAAAATCTCATGTAAACTTCAATCATTACAAATTCAGAAAGCACGTTGCAACATTTAGAGTCATAGCAGGCACCCGCAATCATATTCAGAATCTGACTTCAAAAAATAGCATTTCCTCCCACTTTCCTATCACTACAGGAAATAGATTTGGTTTATCACTCATCAGATCTGCTGATAACACTTTTACTTCATTTGGCAATAATCCATCAACCATTGGAGAAAGAGCCTACAAATTAAAAAAAAAAAAAATCCCTCTCTCATCAAAGACAAGGCTGACAAGTTTCAAAAAGGAAATTTTACATAAAAGTACTATTTTGACTTTTTTTTAGAATTCCAATTAAGTTTGTGATTGATAAAAGCAGCACAGACTTCTTATACAGAACTTCAGTTACCAGGAAAGTCTCTGCTGATTATCACAACCTGTCTTTCTATCAGACCTAGAACCATTTTAACTTAGTTAACTCTGACATGAATGAAGCTTGAGATTGCAGAATTCCATTCAGCGAGTAGCATCATAGAAAAGGAACTCATTTTGCTCCAAACTTTGTTCTCGTCAATCATATGATCTCAACTAGTTCTCAAACCAACCATGTGAGATAAATTGTGTAGAGACAAAGAGAAAAAGCTTCCTGTCTACCCACTGAAAGTAAACTGAAAATGAAATGACAATGGGCAGATTAATAGGAGAAAAAGGCATACAAATTTATGAATAGGGAAATGTGCAAATGACAATATGACAGAAGACAAGGCACAGCAAACCCAGGATGATTTTCACAGAGAAAAAAAATCACAGGGGACAGATTCCCCAATAACCCAGTGATGTTCAGATGCTTTTATACCCTGCTTGATAGAGGAGAAGAAAGTGGGGAATTTAGGCAACCTAGGGAGAGTAAATGATCAAAAATAAAAGGAATAGGTCCTCAAAAACAATAGATAACATCCTGTCTGGACAAGGTGTCAACTTCCAGTCTCTTCTAGATTTGAATCCTATTGCATGTTTATGTATATATTATATACATAATCCCATAAAATATATAGAAAGAGACAAAAATTCCTAGGAGGGTTTATATCACAATTGCTTTCCTTCTGGAGAATCTCCCTTTAGTCAGATAAGGAAAATTCAGGAAAAGCCCCCTGTGTATTTGCTGTTTTTCAAATGCCTTCAATCTAAAATAATCATCATACCAATGAGGCATAGTTTGGGATGTTATTTCCTGAAATCCTCCACTTCTCCTGTCTGAAACTTCCCTAGAAGTTTTACACACTAAAAGTTGAGTAGGTGGCTGTGAAGAAAGAAATTGGGTTAGTAGTTGAGTGATGAGGGATTTTCAAAGGGAGAGAAGGTCATAGATTAGAAGGAGAAAGAATAAGCAGAAAAGAACAAATGTTAAGTACATTTTCCCACACTCCATTAAACCAGTCGTCCATTTCTGGGAATAGGTTAGTCCAATAGAATGGTTTACCTGATAAAGAATTTTTATCATTTATCTAATAAAGAGTATCTTGTCTTTTGAAGGATGCAGATCAGACTCTATTAGCCTTGAGTATTTTATGTAGAAGCAGAATTTCTCATCAGTGATCATGCAAGCTGTTCCCTGTTGGGCTGTCAGCGTATACAGGACATGGCAATTTTGAAATACAAAAGAGTCCAGATTGCTGACTTCTCATTGGAATGTTCCTAGTGCTTGCATAATAATATTGAACTCTTGTTCTAATATCATGAAAGGATTTAGAACTGCCTTTTCAATCTCATAAATTCCAAATCTTGAAAAAAGAGATCTTAGCAATGAAAAGAACTTAGATTTGTGATATACAAGTGGTTTTTTATAATACAGCATCTATTATGTTTGTATGGCACTACTTTATGAATGAAGGAGTCTAGGTTGTAATTTGGCTGGCATTTAAAGTAGGATACCTGGTGACAGCATGCCATGTAACCTGGTCCACAGCATCCTGACCATCTAGGTGGAATCCCCTTGTATAACCTGTCACTACCCAAGCTAAAATGACCAATGGCATTTTGGATAAGGTCAGTGTGGAACTTGTGACCTCCAAATTGGGTTTTTTTGTGCCTTGTCCTCTCTCATATGGACATTTGCACATCTCCAGCTTCCATGTGTCCCTGTCAGTCCCTGGGAGAAGAACAGGTTGAGGAATATATGAGGCCTTTAGTTCAGTGATGGCAGTTATAGAGCTCGTTTTGTCACCTGGCCAAGCTGGCCCAGATTTTTGTTTATTTACATGTAATTTTTTGTATCTGTCAGCCTAATAAGAGGAGCAGGTGAGCTATACCCCAAGTTACATAGAACTGGCTTGTGAGCCATCCTTAACACCTGGTGATTTGGCAGGTGTTTGTTGACCAAAAAAGTCAATGTCAGGACCATATATGACCCTTGGGAGAGGCTTAAGGATGCCATCTGTGGTATCAAATCACAGGGTTTGACTGAAAGATGCCCTGGTATGCCATCTAGGAAAAGTCCTGCATCATCCCTGTTTTTGATGGAAAGGGAAAAATTCCTTTCTAGTGACTTTACATGGGCAGAGGACAGTCCCTGAGACTCCAAAGAGGTTTTTCCATGTCCAATTGACTCACCAAAAGGAGAAGCATGACAGTTTCTTTGATAGCAAATGCCATATATTGTCATGCATTCATCTTCCAGACTGGATCCACTAGGTATTTGCATTAGCAAAAACAAAACTAAGTTCAGATTCTTTTTCACGATTTAGATGTTGACATAACCAGCAATTAGATTGATTAGTTAATTTGGTCAAGGTTTGGAGGACTGTTGCAATAGGGTGTTGAAACTGTGTTTACCTTTCGGAAAACAGTAAGTATTAATAAGAGTAAGACACAATTTGAAGAAACGTGCAGAGTGGAAGATCAATGACAGTTTCCAATTATCTACTAGTGGGCAATCCATTAAGGGAAAGGCTTAAAAAAGGAGTGTTTAAAAGCCCTCTCACCCCTTTTTTATTCCAGGATCAAGGCTTAAAAATGAAAGATAGGTGGGGAATATAGATGAAGGTGAGGCCTC